AGAAAAATAGAGCAATAATAAAATAAGAAATAAAGATGAAGAAAGGTGGAATGAGCCATGTGAAGAAGGTCGGGGAAGATGTGAACATATATGTCTGAAATCAAACATTTCTTATTTTAAAATAAAATAAAAATTGAATTGCGACATAACACCGGCGTACTTTTGCATGTGCATTGTTCCACCAACCATGGCCTTTACATTTCGCAACCACTAAAACTTACTACCAGTACAACTCTCTTTTTTATTTTGTTTCCTACTTTTTTCTTCGAAACACGTTTACTTTATATAATATATGTAGCATATAGTTTGCAATTTATGAACATGAATTTCGTAAGTAGCTACCTTAGTGAAATATTATACTACGTATCTTAAAGAAACGGCAATTCAATGATATATGTTGAAATAAGACTCATAAAGTCGTAATATTATGCTTGCTTACATTATATACATTAATATTGATTGATTCATAGCACATATTATTGTTTGGAATTGTGAAGTATTGCATAATAAACTTGCAAAGGTGTAAAATGGTGCTCTTGCTAGTTTGTACAGGCCAATAAACACGAATGTGTGTTCTTTACACACTGGTTGGTGGGTGGTGGTGTGTGGAGATCAAATCGATCTTGTATCCTTTATATGCGTACAAATTACATGTGTCGTAGACTATACATGTATATATAATACTATGAATTTAATTGTAATGCATGTCTCATAGAGGAATTTAAATAAATTAATGTGATATGGTATACCTTATTGGTATTCAATGAAAGCATTTACTAATATTATCTCAAAATGATATAAAGACCATATATCTATTACACATTGTCTCAAAATATTTGACTGAATTTCAAATATAGCAAGCTAATAAAAATTATCATTTTTCCAATATTAATTACGACTCATGCTGAGATCATGCATGCATTGGCAGAGATGGTCAATAAGATGTTAATTAAAAAAAGCTACACTAGTAAAATAATTTATTTTTTTATATATATAAAAGTAGTGAAATAATTGTTATACTTCGTATGATTGAGACAAAATTAATAAAGTTTAAATCGATTGTTCCATCTCATATCATTACTCATGCATCACTAACAAAGTGACAACTGACAACCTATAGATTAATTATTTACCTAATTAAGGGATTGGATGTACTCCCTAACTCCCTTACCTTTTTCCCTAATACAAAAGCTATATCCAACAAACTACACTGTACAAATTAAGTAAGATTATATTAATTGACCTAACACATAATTCACAAAAGATAAGGTAAAGTAAAGGACTTAAGAGATATTTACTAATACTGATAATCATTATCCTAATTAAATACATAATTAAATTTTAATTGAATTGGTCCGTATTATTGCTTATGAATCATTCAAGGCATGAATAATTAAACCCCTTATTTACTCTTGAACATTTTCATGACTTCTATCATTTTCAGCAAACTCAATCACTAGCTAAACATATATATTGACCAAGAACAAGAAATAATTTGAAAACGTGTAATTTGCTCCATACAGTCAACAATCAAGGCAAATATATATCATTATCGTAGGCTAAATAAAGTCGAAAATGGTAGGTATTCACCTACTTTACGAAATTTTATCACACTATTTATTAATTATGTATGAATAAGCAACCAAGATTAGTGAGAAATGGCTAGACTTGCTGAAAATTGACATACGAAGTTTATTGACTTCTTCCCTTGATATTCTCTCATACGTAATTGCCGTCAACTTTTTTACTATTCCGTATTTAATATTTATGTTATACATTTTACAGAAATAGGCACGACATCTTTTAATACAAGTATTATGAAAAGAAAATTAATTTTACTAAATTCAACTTCTAATACAAATCAAGTCACCTTTTTTCAATTAACATTATACGCTTGATGATTAGATTAATAAAAAAAAAAAAAAAAAAAAAAAAAAAAAAAAAAAAGAAGAAGAATACACCCTCCATAAGTCTATAACATTTGATAAAATTAATGGGAAAAAACAATTGTCATAAGGGCTGAACTTTAAAGGTAGCTAAGCTAGATCACCACAAATTATTCAATGAAGATTTAAGAGCGATAATCTATGTTCAACTCTCGTATCAATCATTGTTAAAACAATAAGAATAATGATTTTCGATGTTTGCTATTACAAGAATGAAAATTGTCCTTAAAAATATAATTCTATATCAACATGAATCTTATTTAAAAAAAAATTCATCTCATAAAAAGATTTCAAATGAAATATATGTAACAATGCAAAAAGGAATGGAGAAGGTAGTCCATAATTTTGTTTTTGTTTCACCAGTAAGCAATTCATAGTGAAAGATACTCGTTACTCATAGTAATAACAATGGAGTTTGATCTTACATAATGACGCATGCCCCATAAAATCAAACACAAAAAACTTAACGCTATGATTAAAACTTCTTATAAGGTGTGCTTGGCATTCCATTACAATTTCCCAAAAACTTTGAATTTTTTTAAATTTGATCTAATTTTGATGGCATATAATTTAGCATAATAGTAGTAGTAGGCCAGTACATTAAATTATTTGTGATGGCATCATGCTGCAGGCCATGCGTACGTTCCCTGCAACAAAGAGAGCAGAGCAGTAACTACAAGTACATTATTAAAGTAAAAAATGAATCTTTTTTCCAAGTATATGTAAAACAAATTTTACCTTTGCTGTTACACTATTTAATTATTTATTTCAAGCATTAATGACAGTATTAAAATTTGATTGCTTCATGTCATGTTAAACTCCAGAAAAAAGAATTTTTAGGGGGATGCTACATTTTTACCATTTGCTAATTGCCACAACTATTTGGCAGTCAGGCAAATTAATGCAGTCTCCAACGTCATGGTCCCTTATTTTCATTTTTTACCTATGATATTTTTACTTTTACCGTGTCTGTTTAATTAGATCATGGATTAATACTAATGTACCATTCTATGTTTCTAATTTAATTATATCATGGATCATGGCTACTCTTTCATCATTTTAGATAATTAGTAAATTGCTGTTGTGTCCAAAACTTTTAAGAGATATAAAATTACACTAAAATGCTTTAAAATTAAGTAAAATATATGAAAAGTTACTCGTACTTTGTAAATGTCCAATAATATTTAGTCGGACAATGGTCTTTAATGTTTTAAGAGCAACTAGTTGAATTTTATCATTCAATAACTTAAAATAGCTTATTACTCGTACTATATATGGTAAAAATTAGGGGGTCAGTCGGGTCACATTTTATTTTTTCATAATTCCTTAAACTACTATGTAATGTCAAGTTTCATGTTTGAAAACAATGCAAAAGGGCAAATGAAACAAACATTAAACAAGGAGGCAATCAAGTAATCGTTATTCATTAATTAAAAAAAATGGTTGATTATGATTTGAAAAATGAGCGCGGTCAGAGGGTCAGCCCAATTAATTAATAACAGCAATGTAACAGTGGCCGTTAGAGATTAGTGAGATTGACTAATTCATTGCATTATTAAATAGGTTACCTTGTCTCTTCCCTATCAGCTGGCCCCCACTCTTCCATTCACTGTTTCACATCTAATTCACTCACCTTTACACAATTACACCCCTTTTCTTCAAATCCCACCATTTTCACAATCTTTCCCATATTCTCTCTACCCTCTTTTTTTTTTTTTTTTTTCTCTTTCATTCTTCCTCTCTTATTCATAGATTAGATTAGAGAAACAAAAAAAATTGACAAAAAACTTCATCAATATTTTCATATAAATTGGTTTTTCCAATTTGTTTGATAACATTCAAAAAATAAAAAATAAAAAAAAAAAAAAATAACTTTTTCAAGCATAATGAGAAACAAATACAACCAACACCAACAACTTCAACAAGAACATGAACAACATCATCACCATCAAAGGAGCAAATTCTTGCCAATGTTATGCTCTTCATCAACCAAACAAGTCATTAAGCTTTCGCACCGTCGTAACGCCTCAACCTCTTCCTCCTCCTCCTCCACTGTCTCCGATGAACCTTTGTCTCCTAGAGTTGGGTGCATGGGTCAGGTGAAGAGGAACAACAAAGTGGTTGGATTTCCAAGTATGAGTTTTGTTGGTGGTTTTACTGCTAGTAGTACTAGCAGTCCTAGTAACAACATGAAAAGTGATCAGATCAGCAGCAACTACAGCAGCAGCAGTAGTATTGTCAAGTATCATAACCTTATAAGATTCTTCTCTACCAAAAGCCTGACTAGCAGCCCAAAAACCGCCATCGCCGCTGCTGCCGTGCCTAGGAAAGGGAAGATCATTGCAGGAAGAAGTACTATAAATAGTAATAATAGTAGTAATAGTATTAGGAGTAGAGGAACAAAGTTAAATACTAGAAGTGTAAGAGATAATCATGGTACTATAATATCTAGATCTAATAATGAAGGGAATTGTGGTAATAATAATAATAATAATAATGAAAATGATAAGGGTTGTTTGGTAAATTTGGTTGATTTGGATCCGCCATTGCCAGTAGTGAAGCAGAAGCAGCAGCAGCAGGAGAATAATAATGGCGAAAATGCGAGTTTGTGGAAGAGAAGATCAGGTGGAGCTCCATTGAAGGGTTTACAGCTTCAAGTTTCTCAACAGAGTTGTACTTTATTACTTCAGTCAACTACTGTATGACTGCTGAGAGAAACAAAAATTTGGATGGATATAAAGTTGTAAATGCAATAGTTGGTTGATTTTTTCCCTTTAATTTGAATAGATTTTGCTCTTATGCAATACATAGTTTTACTGAAAGTACTAATTCAAGTTTTATTAGTATTGCAGTGCTCTTTAATTTGTACCATTTATTTTTCAAACATGTTATCATTGTTATGTAATGCATATCTGCAAATCTGTTGGGAAATAGATTGCACAGGGTAATTTTTCGGTACAACGAATGTCAGTTGATAGGAACATAATCAGTGGAAAAAATGACTGATCTGAGTTAAACACTAGCATTCTGAAACAGTTTAATCGAGTGATGATATAATCTAAAATGGAGCTCGGGCAAACAGATTATATTGCATCTGAAAGCAATGCAACAGATGGATTATCAGCAAAATACAATTTTACATACAATATTCGAACCTATATTACATGGGTCAGTAGTAAAACAACTAAGCTTGATCTCTAAGTTACTACTAGTTGAACTTTAATTGAAGATTTACATTAGCTAGCTGACGAGGGGGGGGGGGGTATGAAGAGAAGCCATCAGCCTTGCTCCTTATAAGGAGTCCAGATCAGCTTGGAAACATCCACATCCAAACCACCGCGTCCAGCAGCTTTTAAATGACGATCCAAAACCTTTGGATCTGCACATATAACATGTTGCCCTTTGCGATATTGGATCAGCTCCAGACTCTGGAGAGTAGATAATATATCCTCTGCTTTGATAGCTGTCATGTCACTGAGCTCCTGCAAAACAAGAAGCCACATATTCGTCACAATTGAGCAGGAAAACAAAAGTGCAAAAGTTTTAGCCAAAATCACTAAAATAGGTACAGGGATCCTAAGAAGTTTCAAGTCTACAAAAAAAATGAGATAAAAAAAGGTTTTCATTCTACAAACCTTAATAGATATGTTTCCCTTGTGCTTCTTCAAGATATCCAGAAGAACACGTGTCCAGTATCCCCTGTAGCTCAACAGCCCCAGATCTGAGAGTGGCCTTTCAGGTGTGCCCACTTTACCTTCTTTCTTAGAAAGTTCATAAGCTGTTGCATCCACAGCTAATGTTAGCAACAAAGCGAAAAATGGCTATGCATATATTAGCAAAATGCCAAGTATAAGACCATAACAGCCCTTCCTGCATTGCATCTTTAGAAGCACTGAACCGATATGGCTAAAAGAGCAAAAATTACTAGAGAAATTGATAAGGGCAGAGGCTTACAAAATGCAATAAGGAATTTGCCGTAGCCTTTCCTCTGGTAAGGAGGAAGAGTAAGAATACAAGCCAAATTATAGGATTCCTCTGAGTGTTTTTCCTGCATAGTTAACAAGTGAAGCCAAAGATAAGTTGTCAAACAAGTGAAGCCAGACTAGAGGGTCTCAAAAGAAGAAGCTTCCTAACAGTTACAAATAAAAAAGCAAAGCATTACCTTCGAAAAATAGCCAACCATGTGACAACCTCGATCATCACATTCACAGAGAACATAAAATAGAAAAAGGTCGACATCATAATAAAGCGTCTTGTGATCAAGAAATAACTTTGCCAAATAACAAAGATTCTGCCCATAAACCTTGTTTTTCTTGCCATCAATCTGTATAAAGCATCAAAAATGATGTGGAAATCAGAACAAAAGTTGTGTTGAAAAAATTAACAAACTAAAATCTCATTTAATTAAAGTTCTTAATCTCTTGCAATTCCAGTCTCCCTTACCCGGGAGAAGGAAACCAAAACAGGGGGAGAAGGAGAGACTACAGAGGGGAGGGGGAGAGAGAGAGAGACCTCAAACATTGACAAAGTTCCACTCCGGTAAATCTCATCGCCAGGGGGGTGCTTAAGATCACATTTTCTCTGCAACCAGAAATAAATTATCGGACATTTAGAGCACAAGATCGATATTGCCAGAGAAAAAGGTCGGATCGAAAAACATTAGGGAATGGCATTTCAGGGGAAATTTTACATTAATATTCTCATATGTATCTCAGATAAAAACAGCAGCAAATTAGATACTGAATTACTGATAAGTCCATGACTGAAAATGATCATAAACAAACCACAGAGTAAATTGGAACCAAAAAAATGAAAAAAAAAAAGTTGCAGAACCAAACCGATCATGAATTCAGAAACTAATGACTGACAGACAAGTCATCAAACACATTCTACCTTGAATATCATGGTGACCATGACCTCTCAAAAGAAGCATAACAAAATTGACTATGGAGATTGGAGACTCAAGTACATAACTAAAGATGATTATATACAAACTCAAGTGGCACAGCCATAAAGGTATGGTCTTAAATGATAATTTAGAAAGACTTCCAAGCCAATCATAAACCATGATATCCGATATCCAGGTAACAATTCAACTGTTGGTACTTGTAAGTAATTTGCAAAAGATGGGAAACACGTCATAAAAGTAAATTTCAAACAATTCAGCAGATAACAAAAGAAAGCACAAATCAGAAGTCAACAGATGTACAATCATAATATATAAAATAAAAAATCCAATGAGCTTCCAACCAATTATAAGAATAAACCCTTAACATCGTTATACATTAACAAAAGAAACATAAGCCCAGCTCAACATTTAAGTATACTTCCTCCATTTTAGTAATATTGCAACAATTGAACTTTTGCACTATTCATCGCTCATGCTTGACCACGTATTATTATTAATATGTTAAGAAAAATATAGTCATGTAGGGTCTTGCTATATTCATCTCGTATCATACTTTCATAATATCAACTTTTATATAATTACAAATATTTAACATACAAAACGTGCTTTGGAATGCGTAATTTCATCCTTGTTGCAATATTACTAGAACGGAGGAGGTATATGATTATATTGCCAATGACCTGGCTTTTATTGGTTGGATGGGGACAAAAGGAGAAGAGCAAGAAAAAGTAACAATAGCAAAACAACACAGACACGAGAAACACACAATCTATCCTCCAAAAAACCAGAACTATGTTGTTGTATACCTTCGTTTATCTTTCCATACGGCCATACCTGTGTAAGGTCATGGGTATAAATGCACAATTCTTCAAAATTATTAGACACCATATCGAAGGCTGACTGCCTGACTCTTCTATTTAAACCAAAGTACAATAAACAAAACAATTCCAATCCTGCAATCACTTCTCTAGTGACAAAAAAACCGAAAGCGAGACGGAAAAAGCTTACCATGTGCCTCTGTAATTGTTCTTTATGCTTCATGAAATTGAGGCAGAATTCACAAAAGTACAGCTTCACGCAATCATTGTACTCTGGTGGAAAGGGAGAGAAGTACCAAGTCTCAATCTCATATCTACCAAGTTCAATAGTTGCTATATTTTTTACTTTTGTAAATTCCTCATGCTCGCGCAAACTTGCCGCATCAAGCTCCTCATGACCCTGAACATAAAGTATTACAAGCCTCATAAGCACAACATACCTTGAGAAGAAAATATTTATATCCAGGCATGAGAGCTGACATCTAAATCACTAGGAAAAAATCCTCATTATGGCAAACAATTCATCCTAAACTCCACTGACCAATGGTGGAGATCAAAAAAATTCTGAATATATGCCATTTAATAATTAATGATAGTACTCACTGCTCAAGTTTTTATATGCTGAGCTGGTAAAATTCAATTCCTCCAAACAATTCTAACACTCACTGGCTAGTATCAAGTACAGACCTATACAGGACAGGCCATCAAGGCACAGTATTTACGTGCAGATTTAAGTCCCGTCTCTACTACAACTTCATCACGTTGTTGAGTTTTATGTTATCCCGTAAACATAGTGAGATAAATCACACACTATATAAACTCATAGTAAGATAAATCACATACTATATAAACTAAACCCAACAGATATATCAAAACCTTAATGTTGTCAAGCACGGAGATGAAAAGTCTGAAGGATATTGCATGCAGTCTCACATCGTATGTAAAATGTAATACACGTGAGGAGGCCTTGACGTAATTATGTGCTTCTAAAAGAAAATAGGAGGAAACCAAAAGAACAATTTGTATGGGATAGCTATAATAATACAAGAAAACTGGTAAGTACAAAGTAGATTTTACTCATAAAGCCCAACTACAAGTCGCTAAGACAAGCAACAATGTCACTAATTTTGATGAACGAAAATAGCAACACAATAATTTTAAAAGCATATATATAGGGAGGAACCCATCTGTAATGTTTTCAAACAAATTTAAGTGGCAGATAATTAAACTTTGAACACAGACACCCATGTTCAGGACTAAAAGGCCCAATTGGATTACTATGGGTTGACCACAACTGTGGTAACAAGCAAAGCCACCAAACGTCAGTTCAGATTGAACACAGTGCCCTTGTGGTTCTCCATGGCCACCAATTTGATAGAAACTCACCCAAAAGGCCAAAACCACAATTCACAGTATGGAACAGCCCTCGAAAGAACCTCCTACTAATCCAAGAACATCCCAAAAGCCAAGCCATCCTACTAAGTCTAGCCATTAAAGTGAGAAATAACTCAGCACAAAATGATAAAGCCTCGGTCGTCACCAAATAAAATAGTTCCCCCACCTCACCCCAAGTAAAACCCAACTTGATAGGGAACCTTCCAAATTAGTAAATGTAATATATAGCATAACACATTTATAAGCTTTTCCTAACACACAATCTCAAGATTTAAATGAACTTCACATTTCATTCAAGATTCAAGGCAACGGTAAGTTTAACAGATATACAAGCGTCATAACAAAACATAAAATAATGAGGAAAATATAAGCAAACCAAGTTCACCTATCACTACTCCCTCTAGGTTGCCTATTTTTACATAGACATAAGATATCATTGCTACAGAGTGCACAAAGTTTGCACATCAAAGCAGCAGTATTTGCAGAATTATGGACAAGAAAAGAGTTATAACAATGTTGTTGCACTTCAGTCATGTTCATATCCTCACTAAGTTCAACTTCTCCATTGTAATCAAATGTGAACAAGTCAATTCTACTAACCATAGATAACATGAAGAATTCAGCAGATAACAGTAATCAAACATACCTCCACATGAATCTCATCAATTTTACGTTTCTGATGGCGAGTCATCTTCAAGCTTGTAACCTAGGAGAAACCCTTTGTCAGAACATCCACTCAACGCGTTAAAAAGGGAGGGTAGGCAATAGATTCCAAGCCAAAAGATATTACATGTGATAAAAGAACATTTTAGAGAGAGAAGAACAATAAAAGGGGAGAAAACCAGGGAGGAGAAAGGGCAAGAATAGCAGGTATAGATAAAGAAAATTCGGTGGAAAAAGAAGGGGGCTTGCCAGGAAATAATCAGTTAAAGATGGTCTTTTAATATGATATCACCCTTCATAGGACTAAGAACATTAAGCAAAGAAAGAGCTTATGCAAGGCTTAAGAAGCTTTAGGTATGCAAATTTCATCATTCTATTACAGCGAAAGTACATAATAGAGGTATCCAATAGACTTACCTTATCTTCTACCTTCTCATCAACAACAGCCTCCACTGAATCAAGATCAAGTTGATCAAGCTTAACCCACTCATCAAGCCTCCTGTTAACTGATAAGAATGACAAAAGACCATGCTATTAGCAACCTTCATCAAAGATAGACAGTATGATAATCGTGAGGAAATGATCACTGAAAGCAGTCAATTTCAGGCACATTCCATGTGTACTTGTTCCACAATATATTGCCGACACCCTACCCAACCACCACTCCACCCACCAAATCCTAAAAGGAAGTGCAAACTGGGGGCTTCTTGGTTAGAAGTGACACAATCAGGGGTCAGCTTATTTTCCTTAGTTAGTGCTTCGCACTCTTTATACAATCCCTAACCACATTCCCCAGCCCACCCATCCAATGAATTCCACCTCCTCCCCCTTTCTCACAACACCAACACAAAGCCAATTCCACATCTAAGATAGCTTTAATGTTACCTTCATTAAGCCATGTTTACTACTCAATAGATTTTAGCCACAAACAGGGCAGTTTACTTGCTTACTTATGGACCCCTGTTCATGAAGAGCAGTCACTCAGCTCTATTTTTGAGTTTTCGGTTACCTAGCGTAAATAGGTTATTGTGGAGACGAGCTGGTTATACTTTTCATAAAAATTGTGTTACCTCAAAACCAGAAGCAAATCCCTTCCTTTGCAACATTCTAATAATTTCCAAAACCACTAGCCCCAATTCCCCTCATCTGGTCATTCCATAAGCCACTGAACACCCAAAAGCGCCTAGCCACAGTTCATGATCAGCCCCCCACAGCCTGATGCCAATCCCCTTCATCAACCAAACCAAAGGCCTTGATCCCTCAGAGTCTTTCACACCAAAAACCACACAACTTCAATCCTCTCACGACAAAAACAATCACCTTAAATGTCTCCAAGATAAAACTACCATGCAACCCTCCTCCCCTCCTCCTGCCCCAAACTACAACCATACGGTCAAAACTTGCCTACTAACCAAACCAAGGGAAGAGAAACAAATTCATGTCATTTGCTTTAAAGTTTGAACTTAAGGTCAAATTTATCCTCCAATAGGCTACCAATGAACTTCAATTTCTATTCTTTGCCAATGTAAGCAAGGGAATAAGTCAGCGGCGGAAATGAGGGTTGAGGTGGGTGGCAATGACTGAGGATGGGTGAGAGGGGAAAAGGGGATATGGAAATAATAGTGAAGAATAAAGGATGATTGTGAATAGACAGTAGGGACGGATTTATCATCTCTTTCATTTTCAATCAGCAAAGAGAAAAAAAAAAAAAAAAAAAAAAAAAAAGAAAGAAAGAAAAAGAAAATAAGACTCCGTACTTACTTTTACATAATACAAAACGACCAAATTCCCTCTCTTATTTTCTTTCCCTTTTTAATTGTTTCCATTGAGCTATCTAAAAAGGTTGTTAGCAGTGTTTATATCCAAGCGTTATAAACATAGATCCGGTCCATGGAAGGTTTATAAATGCTTCTCTGTTTGGAAATAAAATATCTACCATTTTAAGATATCATAAAGAGTTGACACTTTTTCTAGGACATACACATAATTATGATTCGTGATTTAAATAGTTGGATTCCATGCCTATTTCAGCCGAGTTGCGTATACCTATCGACGAAGAGTAGAAACAACATATCTATTTCCTGGTGAAAGCAGTACGTGATTATCATCTGCTTCTGTGGTTTGAACATATTCATTTTTTTTTTCTTTTTTTTTTTTTTTTTGGGCAGATACTATGAGCAAATACAAATGCATGATCGTATTTTCATCACAAACACGCACGCTAGCTTCTTCCTATACAAGAGTTAAAAACAATAGCAAAATACTTAAGAGAATAATCCATATAAGTCATATTAATCAATTTCAACTCAGCAGTCCAAAACACAGTTTCATTCAAATTCGCGTTCAGGATGCTAGTCTTCGATATTCTTAAGCTAAACAAAAATCAACAATAAATTAGCTGCTTCGTATAAAATTGTAGCTCTGGTGATCTTGGCAAAAGCTAACCCCAAAATTACTCAAATAACTACAAAATTCAGCACCAAACCAGACAAACCTCAATTGTCATGAAAATTAAACAATCAACTATCATCAAACCCTAATTTCAACCACAATCAACCCCCAAAATTAAATTAAAAAAAAAAATTAAAGTGCAAATGAGAGAGAAATCATACACTCAGTATAATGAACATAGTACTCGTAATCATTAGGGCCACCGGAAGACACTTTCCGGCGCTCAATGACCTTAACAGGATGGTATTTGGAGTCGCGCCAACGGCACATGACGCGAGTGCCGACCTCCAAAGGAAGCACTCCAATCTTCCTTCTCTTCAAACCTTCGTTTTCCGGTGGACTTCCGACGTCTTCGTTGGCCGCCGGCGAAAGCTCCGATCGAACATCGGCGGTGGATTGCTGATTATCGTCGACATCGTCATGAATTAGGGTTTTGCCGCCTTGTGCATTTGAGGGTGGATCTAAGGACCCCATTTTCTTTTTCCTCTTTCAGTCAAGCCTCGAATAAACGGTTTATCGCTCTAAAATTAGTCTGGATAGTTTTTTTTTTCTTTTTTTTTTTCATTTTGGGATTTACATACTTTTAAATCCCTTATAATTATAAGGATTAATACCATTTTTTAATAACAACTTTGCATGGTTTATTTTAAATAATCCCAACTTTTGATTATTCTGCAATAATCCAAACTTTAGGGTGTCTTTTCTTTCTTCAATTACAAAAACCGGCAACTTGATGAAAAGGTTTTTTTTTTCTTTTTATAATATATGCCACACGTCGAGCAATTATTGGTCCAAAAATGAAAACCAAAAAAATAAAAAATAAAACTTTAAAAAAAAGGAAAAACCAACAAAACCCCTCCCTTTACCAGCCCACCGTGAACCTCCTTCAATCTCCTCCTCCCCACTCCTCAACCTGACCGAAAACCACCACCTCCACCTCTTTGTCCGGCCACCTAAGGATTCCGGCACCTCCCCTTCCCCGTTTTCTCTCTCTCCCTTCCGCACCCTAAATCTAGTGGTCCTCTATCACTAGAGTGGTTTCGGGGTGAGTTTAGGGCGGTTTCAGGGTGAGGGTTCGATTTTGAGGTATTTTTCAAGTGGGTTTAGGGTAGTTTCGGGGTTGGGGTTTGATTTTGGGTGGTTTCCGATTGGTTTAGGGTGATGTGGGTTTCGTTTTAGGGTGGTTTTCGAGTGGGTTTACGGTGGTTTGGGGTGGGACTTCGAGTTTGGGGTGGTTTCGGGGGCGGGGCTGGGGAATGAGGATATTTCGGTCAAGTTCATGTGGAAGGACCGAGTGTTCTAACACCGTCAAACACCGTACCCCCTCCCTTTTTGCTTTTCTCTCTCCACCCTTTACTGTCAAACACCATACCCCGCCTTTGTTCTCGCAGATTGGGCGATTTTGAGGGATGGGAGTGGTTTCAAGGGAAAGGGTTTGGGCTTTTGGCCGATTTCAACGGTGGAGCTGGGGAGAGGGGGTCGTTTCTGGTTGGTTGGTCGGGAAAGGAGGTGGTTTAGGTGGGTAGCGACTGTGCGGCGACAGGTTAGGGTGGCGATTGGGGTGGCTGTATGGCTGAGTCAGTTTTTTCTGTTCTTTCTTTTTAAAAAAAAAATTGGGTTCAGTAAAAAAAAAAAAAAAAAAATTGGACCACTCACGTGGCGACACGTGTCCAGCAACCTACAATAGAAGGTTGTTGACTTTTGTTGACCGGTTTGGGTATGAAGAATGATAACCCACCTTAAAGTTGAGATTATTGAGGAATAATCCAAAGTTGGGATTAATAAAAATAAATTGGTGAAAGTTGGGATTAAAAAATGGTATTAATCGTAATTATAAAAATTACTCCTTAAAAAATATAAAAAAAATTGTAATATATGAATCAAATCGGAATAGAAACCTCACATCGGGTTTTTCAAGGGCGAATTGCTAAACATCGCCTACAAATTACCAACTAAAGCCCACACATTTCCATTGAATTGACAATATTGCCTTTGACCTAAAAAAAAACACTCTCTCATCACCCAAACAAAAAAAATCTGTGCCACTTTCATTATACGTTTTTTTAAAAAAAAAAAATCAAAGTCCGGCAATGTCGAGGCGGCAAGGCAAAGAATTGGCGGCGAAGGGAAGGAGGTCTCGCGGTGGAAAGGTTGGTTTTTTTCCGTTAAAAAATAAAAAAAAAAAAAAAAAAACGTCGTGGCAAGGTGGGGCGCATGGGGAGGACGCCACGGCGGCGGTGGTGGCGCCAGAATCAGACGCCGGAACCACGAACATGGCGTCTGGATCTGGCGCCGCCACCACAGGAATGGCGTCCTAGCCAGGCGCCGCCACCCATGGCGTGGCGTCCCAGCCATGCGCCCCCTTTTTTTTTTGGTTTTTTTTTTTTTTTTTTTTAAATCTGTTTTTTTTTTTTTTTTTTTTTGGAAATCAGAAATTTTTTTTTCAAAACCTGTTTTTTTTTTTTTTTAAGTAATTTTCTTTGAGTTTTTGTTTTTTTATGGTTTTTTTTTTTTTTGGAAAATCAGTTTTTTTTTTTTTTTTTTTTTTTTTTTGGAAAATCATTATTTTTTTATGTTTTTTGTTTTTTTAAGTAATTTTGTTTGGGTTTTTGTTTTTTTATGGTTTTGTTTTTGAAAATCAGTTTTTTTTTTTTTTTTTTTTTATGTTGTTTATTTTTTTGAAAATCATAATTTTTTTATGTTTTTGTTGTTTTTTATTTTTTTGAGTATTTTTCTCTGGGTTTTTGTTTTTTTTTATGGTTTTTTTTTAAAACCAGTTTTTTTTTTATTTTGTTTATTTTTTTGAAAATCATTATTTTTTTGAAAATCATAATTTTTTTATGTTTTTGTTTTTTGTTTTTTGTTTTTTCCCCTAATTTTTTTTTGAAAATAAAATTTTGTTTCTGTTTTATGTTTTTGTAAGTTTTTTTCAATTTTGTTGTATTTTTTTTACGTTTATACTTCCTTTACATTTCTTTGTATGTTTGTTTTGTACAATTTTTTTTTATATTTGTTATTGCAATTTGTTAGTATGTTTCTCTGTTTAGTTGATATATTTTCGTTTAGGTTATTTTTTTTCTTTTATGTTTATATAATTTTGTATGTGTTGGTTTTTTTTTTTCTTTGTTTGTGTATATTTTATTCTGTAATTTATTTTAAGTGTTTTGTTAATTTCTTTTTTAGGGTAGTTTGCTAGTATTTTTTTAGTTCATTTGATTTGGTTTTTGGTAGTTATTTTTCTTATAATTTTTTTAATGTGTATACATTTTTTAATTTTTTGAAGGTGTCGCATTTTCGTCATGGTGCGGGGAAGAATTTAGACCTTATTAGGTCTGGAAACTACTCGATGGAGAGCTCGGGGCCCAGACATCTTAGATCCCGTGGTATTTCGGCCTCGGCTCGTAGAGAAATTAACAGAATCATACCAGAACAGGTAACCACGTGCTTGCGCCTGGTGTAGAAGCTGATGTATAGGGTTTCTTCCCTCTGACCGTTCAAACCTCAGTTGCTGTCTGACGTTGTAGATGTGTCTTCGATTTGGCTGGTCTTCAGGAAATTTCTCTAGCACAGATGCTAATATTTTAGCAGGCTTCACTTGAGCATCACTCATTTCTTTGACAACCAGTTTTGCAGCAGGACTTAAGCCGCTCAACTGTCGATGACCCACTTCATATACTATCATCTCATGGTTGTGATACCCCCATTTGGAGTAACCCTTCACTTCCCAACCTTCACGACTCTCTAGTTGCCGAACCTTTACTCTGAACTCACACCCACAACCTTTCCGCTTTGTATCAAACCAAGTGGCTGTACTGAAATCTCTTTCTTCTCTTTTGCGATAACGGTCGCATCTCAAAATGCGATCCATTCTACCATCCCGTTGAGATTTATGACTTGTTACTACCAAGCAAAAACCAGAAGTAATTGCAACCTATTTAGCCCAATCAATCGCTTGTTGAGCATCTTCGAAGGGACCATCATGTACAAATATCCTACTGTAATCATTTCCGTCTCCACCGTAATCCTGCATAAATTAGATATTATATTTAAATACATATAATTATGTAAAGCGTAAATTAACACAAAATTAAAAACATAATTATGTATAACAGTATTCATACACATACAAAATTCAAACATAATCATTTATAAAAGTATTCATACACATACAAAATTAAAACATAATTATGTGTAAAAGTATTCATACACAAACAAAATTAAAACATAATTAATTTTTTTGTAAATTATTAACACAAATCTAATTTCCACGTACAAAATTATAAAATAAATTTATTAGCAAATATGTAAAACATTATTTCAAGTTATACATTTTTTTTTTTACAATTTAAATTTCTCAAATTTAATAACAAAAAAAAAACAAAAAAATTTAAAACCGAATTTCCACATACAAAATAAATTTATTAACAAATATTTAAAACATAATTACAAATAAAACATTTTCTTTTTTTTTTTTAGAATTTTAATTTTTCAAATTTATAAACAAAACAAAAAAAAACAAAACAAAAAAAAACAAAACAAAAAAATTAAAAAAAAAAATAAAGGCAGTGGCGCCTGGCTGGGCCACCACTACCATGGCAGTGGCCAGGACGCCGCCACAGTGGGAGTGACGCCTGACCAGGAAGCCAGGACCGTGGGCGTGGCGCCTAGCCTGGAAGCCATCACCACGGTTCCGGCGTCCTGGCCAGGCGCCACCTCCACGGTGCCGGCGTCCTAGCCAGGCGCCACCGCCATGGCACCGGCGTCCCGGCCATGCGCCCCGACCATGACGGTGGTGGTCCATGGTCACGCCTCCGACGATGTTTTACCTCGTTTTGCTGCGACGACGACGACTCTTCGGCGTCCCTCGGCTCTCCGGTCTCCCGCGCGAACCTAGTACGGCTCCACATTTTTCGATGTCAGAATTTTTCGTTTTATGGTAAGATTTCACAAATGGCCAAAAGTGTCAAACCAAGTGTCTTTTTCAATTTGATTTTTCGATGCCAGAGTTTTTCGTTTTTGGTAAGATTCCACAAATGGCCAAAACTGTCAAACCAAGTGTCTTTTTTAATTTGATTTTCCGACGTCATAATTTTTCGTTTAGAATTCACAAATGGGCAAAAGTGTCAAACCAAGTATATTTTGCAGGCTTTATGTAGTAATTTGTGGGCGATGTTTAACAAATCCCTTTCAAGGAACGTAAAACTAAACTAGAAATTTCTTAATTCGATTTTATATAAATGCAAATTCAAGTATAACCTTTGGACACACCCCAAAATACTACGTAATGATTATGTATTACGACAATTATTTTAACTTTCCTAAAATAATAAAATCATATTACTTTGCATAATAGTCTTTTTTTTTTTTTTTTTGAAAACCTTTATCGGATAATAATTTGCAATAAATTGGGGGGCCAGGCCCGCCACTAGTAATGTAAGTATTCAAATACAAGTATTTTGTAATACATATTCATTCTTCTATGTATTCATTTGCATACAATTGAATATTTGAATCCCAAATCTCTTGGATTCCAAATTTTCTCAAGGATCTGCAGGAGGATAGAATATGGTGTTATGATGACTAATGAGCTTGCTAGCTTGATATGAT